CTCCTGATCCTTTGTGTTCATAACAGTGACCAGCCAGGCTAATGCGGAATGTGTTTGAATTGGATGTAATTCAACAAGAATTATTAAGAGTCTATTATTTTGCAGGTGTTAGACCGACGCGTGAAGAATGGATACTTGGAGACAGATCACTTTAGAATCAAAAGTTAAATGTTACAAAAACGTATGGCTTACAAAGTGCTTTTATGCAAATTATTGGGTTTGATTTATTAACAGCTCTACTGGGTAGGTATTATTATTCTAACTTTACAGACGAGGAAACCAAAGCTCAGAAAAGCAGAGATTCGCCCAAGATTAGTTTTTTTCAGAAAGCACTTTAAAATTAAATGCCTTCTATTATGTACCTCCCCCTTGGCCAAGTCCCAGGCATACGAGGGGAGATAAGTTCAAGAATCTTGGGACCAGCCGGGTGGTGTAGTGGTTAAGTTCGAGCGCTTCAGTGGCCTGGGGTTTGCAGGCCTAGATCCCTGGTGCAGACCTATACACTGCTCAACAAGCCGTGCTGTGGCAGGACCCCATGTACAAAGAGGAAGATTGGCAACAGATGTTAGCTCAGGGCCAATGTTCCTTGCCAAAGGAAAAAAAAAAAGAATCTCACGGTTCATTGTAAATATCTGATTATAACACAGAGAAGAAAGCCCCCAACTGTGATAGGGAGAGTTGGGAAATATTTCCTAAGGGTAATGAGTTGAATCTCAAAGAGTGTAAATGAATTTGCTATGTAGAGGAGAGGGGGAAGAGGTTTCCAGGCAGAAAAAAAAATGTCATATACAAAGATATGGGAGTACAGAAAGCGAGGCATGAGAGAAGGGTGAAATTTCCATTGACTGGAGAGAGCATCACGTACATGAGGAGACGTCCTGAGGCTGAGCCTGGGAGTCAAAGTAGCAACCAGATTGTAAAGGGCTGCTATGCCACTCTAAAGAGTTTGGATTCTCAAATCTCTTGTGTGTTTCTACTGCTTACAAAATCAGCTGAGTAATGTTTTAAGAAGATAACTCTGGAGCCAATGTGGAAGGTACCCTGGAGGAAGCTGGGGGCTGTTGGAATAGTCAGGCATGAGATGATGACAGTGTCAACCAAGGCTGACACGATGAGGATGAGGACAAACAGGCAGAAGTAAGAGATACTAGGAATCACACTTGTCAGAAGCAGGTATTCAGTTGGATTTGGGGGGCTGGGAGAAAGGGAGAGGCAGACGACGACTTCAAGTTTGACTTCCTGGGTGGATGTGAACACTGCCATTATTTACACATAGGGCATGGGATTGGGAGCCAGTAAAGGAGGGATCCAGAACTCAATCTCAGGCCAACTGACTCCAAGCCTTCTGCTCACTGTACTCTAACATACTGTGTTTTACAGGCTAGCAATGCCAATTGTGGTAGAAAAATATTAATGAAAGTAATTCAAAATTCCTACAGAAACAAATTCCGCAATATAACTAAATTATTATATTATCATAGCCTCTTCTTTGAGTAATAACTTCTCAAGAATATATCCCTTTAGGGGCCAGCCTGGTGGCACAGAAGTTAAGTTCGCACGTTCTGCTTCTTGGTGGCCCGGGGTTCGCCAGTTCGGATTCCGGGTGCGGACATGGCACCGCTTGGCACGCCATGCTGTGGTAGGCGTCCTGCATATAAAGTAGAGGAAGATGGGCACGGATGTTAGCTCAGGGCCAGTCTTCCTCAGCAAAAAGAGGAGGATTGGCAGCAGTTAGCTCAGGGCTAATCTTCCTCAAATAAATAAATAAATAAATAAATAAATAAATAAATAAATAAAAAGAATATATTCCTTTAAAGTCCTAATATACTTATGTCACTTCCTCTCTGTCACTAATTCCCTGCTAGGTCTTGATCTACTTCCAGAGAAGTTATTTATATAGAAAACTTGGATATATGCTATCTAGTCCGAGTTATATTAATGTAATGGCACAGAAGTCAACTTGCTCAGGTTCAGAGGTGCTCACTCTGCCTGACGATACTGTAAGCCCCCTAGCCACCTAGACCTGTCACTATCTGTCAGTGATCCACCTCTGGGTGTCACTTTTTCAGTCACTGCACCGTGCTGGCCCCTACACCAGGCACTCTGCATACGGTAGCTGATTAAATTCTCCTGAGGAAACTATTAAGGGCTGGAAGACCCAGAGAGTCTGAGTGACTTGTTGACAGTCCCACAGCTTGAAGTTTATGTGCAACTATTCCCACACCTGCACTTCCAGTTGAAACACTGCAAATCCCAGACCGTGATCTCCAACACTCTGCCAGCCAGCCCCACCCAGACATCCTTCACATGCCTCATAACAAAATGCCTAACATCAAGTTCACTATTTTTTCCACAATCTACCACTCCTCTGTTTCCTATCCTAGTTGATGGAATCAGTATAAACGTGATTACTCAAGTGAGGAATCTGGAAGTCTCTTAATCTCCTTGTTATCTTCACCGTATCCAGGAACCTAACCTCTTTTTTTAGGAAGATTAGCCCTGAGCTAACTGCTGCTAGTCCTCCTCTTTTTGCTGAGGAAGACTGGCCCTGAGCTCACATCCGTGCCCAGCTTCCTCTGCTTTATATGTGGGACGCCTACCACAGCATGGCGTGCCAACCGGTGCCATGTCTGCACCCGGGATCTGAACAGGTGAACACCAGGCTGCTGAGAAGCTGAACATGCGCACTTAACTGCTGCACCACTGGGCCGCCCCAGAACCTAACCTTTTTCACCTCACCTTCCCAGTCATCTACATTTACTTTAAAACTTGATTCACTATATAATCATACATGTTTTCTTAACTTGAAAAATAATTTCTAAAATCTGTCTCTCTGGCTGGTGCATCTCAATAAAACTGCCACTTGTGGGACCGGCCCAGTGGCACACCCCAGATCCAAACCGGTGAACCCCAGGCCACTGAAGCAGAACGTGGGAACCTAGCTGCTGTGCCACAGGCCAGCCCCCGTAGGTTCTTACTACTTTACTTCTCCCACTGCAATAAAAATTCTTTATACAGTATGCGTGGAAGAACAGAACAGACTGCCTAGGTTTGTATCCCGACTCTGCCACTTTCAGCTGTGTGACCCAGGCAAGTTACTTAACCTCTCTCTCTCTGTTTCTCCATTGGTAAAATGAGGATTGTGGGCCAGCCCTGAAGGCCTAGTGGTTAAGTTTTACACACTCCACTTTGGCAGCCCACGTTCAGTTCCTGGGCGTGGACCTGTACCACTCACCTGTCACTGGCCATGCTGTTGCAGCAGCTCACATACAAAAAGAGGAAGATTGGCAATGGGTGTTAGCTCAGGGCAAATGTTCCTCAGAAGAAGAAGAAAAAAAAGAGGACTGTAATAGTACCCACCTCATAGACGTCTTGTGAAGGATTAGATGTAAAGAGTTTGCATATTGTTAGGTGATTAAGAAGTTTGTTATTAGGGCTGTCCAGTTGATTCCGACTCCTGGAGACCCTATGTACAACAGAACCGGACCTGGTCCAGTCTTTTTGCACCGTCCTCTCATCTTCCAGCACTATATCAGACAATGCTCCACTGCTATTCACAAGGTTTTCATGGCCAATTTTTTCAGAAGTGAGTGGCCACGTCCCTCTTCCTAGTCTATCTTAGCCTGGAAGCTCTGCTGAACCTGTCTACCATGGGTGACTCTGTTGGTCTGAGAAGTACTGGTGGCATAGCTTTCAGCATCACAGCAACACACAGCCACCACAGATCACAACTGATGGGTGGGTGGTGTGGTTCCCTGAATGGAAAACGAACCCAGGCCACAGTGGTGAAAGCACCAAATCTTAACCACTAGACCACCAGGGCTGGCTGATTAATAAGTGGTAGCTGTTTATTACTCTTCTGATTATAAAAATATATACACTCATCATTCCAAAAATTCAGCAATATATAAAAGTAAAAAAAAAAAAAAAAGTAGAAACCACTCAAATGATTCTATGACCGTTGCTAGCATCTTGGTGAAAATCCTTCCAGTCATATTTTTATGTGAATGTGTGATGTGCAGAATCTGAAATTTACCCCGGAGGGGGAAGAAAATTTATATAAGGAGCACTGGTATCTCCAAGAGACAAGTTCCAGATCCTTCTTTGATATTCACTGTTATTGAAGCAGTGGTCTTAAACAATTTGGAGTGGCAAGCAACTGGTCCCTAAGACAAAAAATGCCTGTAACCATCAAAAACAGAGAAGGTGGTGGACTGGCTTCTGCCCTGCAACTCAAGTGAGGAAAGTTTAGGGTCTGTGGGCCAGCAGACACCAGTCTCTGTTTCAGTATGTATGAGAGGAGGCTTGTGATCCTAGCATGCGGTGAGTGTGTAAACAATAGAAAAGCCTGTCCATCAAGATCTAAGTTGGAAGTCAAGATCTGCTTTGGAAAGCAGTGATGCATTTGATCCTCAAGCTTTCTTAACAGTGACAAGCAGCATTAATTCAGAAGACCCATGTGTGGGGGACTGGAATTGGCCACCCCAAGATATGTCTGTTTGGCATGGGGATAATTTGGGGCTGGTTACTTTTAAAAACTGCAGACAGGAAAGAAACTCTGAAAAGCAGAGTTTACTTACCCTTTGTTAAGAGACACTTACATTGTTAAGGAAATCTCCATCTTTAAAGGTGTCTCCCTCTCTGTACAGGAGGAAGGGGGATGATCTTATGTCTAGAAACTCTTATCAATGTGGAAGGCAGGGACTCAAGTCTACATAATAACCTGACTCCTGTTTACTGTACTTGTGTGGTAATCTCCCATGATTGACTCCCCCTACCCCCAATATCCTCTTTTGTCTTTAGCTGAAGATGATATTTAAGGTGGTGGCTTCTGCCATTTTGGCGAGTTGCTCAGGTTGCCTGAGCCTCTCCCATGTATACATGTTATAAAGCTTTGTTTAATTTTCTCCTGTTATTCTGTCTCATGTGAATTTAATTCATTCTCTGGCCAGAGGAACCCAGAGTGGGTAGAGGAAATGTCTTCCTCCCCTACACATGTGAGAGTCTTGTCATTTAAGGAATAATCTACCTTTGCACCTTCAAGCAAGCTGAACCCAAAGCTAGAAAGAAGAAAATAATAAAGACCAAAGCAGAGATAAACAAAATACAGAATGAAACACAGTAGGAAAAAAATCAGCAAAAGTAAAAGTTGGTTCTGTGAAAAGTGACATTGAGGAATGTCATTGAGGAATCTTGGGGCAGGAGACCCAAGAAAGAAAACAATTTGCTGCTAAAATGAGAAGAACAGAATTGAAGCTATTATCATTTGAACAATAGAAGAAGTATAACTTTATTTTATAGTAAATGAACAGGGCATACTTGTTATTGATCTTTGTGAAATATTTTACATACATGAGATCATACATACATGACATTTTATAACTTGCTTTTTTCCCTCAACAATATGTTGTGGACATCTTTCCATGAAGTAAATGTATAAATGTGTATTTGTATCATTTTTATCAGCTGCACGGTACTCCATTATACGCACAACCAGTATATTCCACTCCGCAAAATCAGGATATAAATACTGTGACAGCTCATTCCTTTTTTCAATAAATTACTAGTGCCCCCATCCACTAGAGCAATAGAAGATTCCTTATCTCCCTCTTAGGCTTCCTATTTTCCTTGATTATCCAAAATTCTAGGGCCTTACATAATATAAAAGGAAGGTCATTTGTCTTCCACTTCCCAGTAGGGAGATCTTGTTGGTTCTCTCTGTCTTTGTCCTCCCCTGTCTTTCCACTGATGGCTCTTGCATCTAAGTCTGCCCTATTGTGGTTCTCAAACTTTATAAGATTATAGGATTATGAAATAATTTTCAATCCAAATATCTGATGAAGTTTGGTAACATTTATCTTCCCAGCCCAGGAGTTCAATGTGTTATCATGCCCTTAGGCTGCTCTCAGGTTCTCAGAAGATGATAGGGAACCCAGTGATTAGTATCGATGCTGCCTGAGTCATGATGTTTACTTCTCTGTGAATTTCAACTTAAATTGCTAAACTGCCTTACTCTTGCCAGTGCCCTCCTCCTAGGGACTTGGTCCCTGTTCACTGCCTGGTGGCTGTGGCCTCACCGATGGGGCCCTCAAAAGTTTCCCTTTTAAAACCCCATACCTGGATTATAGCTGAGCTCATTCTTTAGATGTAATGCCTTGTTGGCCTGGTATCGCCCTCTCTCAGTCCAAGGAGTCCTGGCCAAGAATACTAAACAAGAGCGTCTGGTCAGGAACCAGAGCAAGTCTTCAGGACCAAAACTGACATTGTCTGGAGATGCAGCGTGGTGTGTTGGTGCAGTAGTCATGGTGATGCGCTCTTCGCTCCCCGTCTGCTTCCAGCCCAAGCGTGGTAACTCCATTCCCCTTAGTATAGGAGCAGCTGAATCCTGGCAATGAAACACAAGGGGAAGGCTGCTGAGGGAGCCAATGAAGAAGACTTCCTTATTCCTAAAATAGAGACACAGAGAGAGATGGCCCCTCTTCCTTTGGACATTGTGATGTTTAAATGAGATGCCTGGAAGCACTTCAGCCTCAAGCCAATCCACTCTGGAGGAAAGAGCCAAGGGAAGTACCCAGAGGTAGGCAGGAATCCAGGCACACTGACCCGAAAGGCTACCTTACCTCTAGACTTAGTAAGTGGGAAAGTATAGTTGCTTACAGTTTAAGACTGTTTAAGGGAAATTTCCTGTTACTTGAAACCCAAAATGCTATGAATCTTTCATGTGGATAAATTACTTAGCATTTTTGAGCCTCAGTTTCTTCATCCAAAACAATCCCTACATTCCTGTATTTTGAAGTTTAAATGAGCTTTGTCATGTACGTCCTCATGAGGCTATCGTTACTAGAGTAAAGATAATACTTCTTTGCCCTCTTCATAAGCTGGCTCCGCAGTGAGCTGCTCAGGTCGTTTGGACTCTATTTCATATTCTCTAAGGAATTCAGTAGCATGCAATCTGGACTGCAGACTTTAAAACCAGGTAAATCTCAGTCAGCTCCACAGAGCTGTACGGCAATGTGGTAGAATGGTTAGGAAAGTGGGGTCAGAAATCAGACCGCCCCAGTTCGAATTATTGTGCTCTTGGGTAAATGGCTTAACTTCTCCAAGGTCCAGTGTTCCCAGCTATATGTTATAGATAATAGTACCTACTTCAGAAGGTTGTTTTTACATCCAAATGTGGTGATCTACATTAAGCTTTTAACCCTTTGACATAGTTGACAGTAAAAAAAACAATGCTATTATTACTTGGTCACAGTAGTATAATGATTTGTTGGTATATCTTTAATCTCTGTTACTTAGCATCTAAAGTTTTCCTGTACAGGTTTCTGTGAAATTCTGCAAAATATACTGAACTTGAAATGTGGCTGTCTTATTTTTCTCACCCTTTACTATTATCAAGTATCATTTTGAGTTCTTTCTCTTAAAGTTTCTAATTTTGTGTTTGAGACTTCTGAGTCTATTTTTGAAGTGGCTCACATGCCTGGAAAGAGAAAGGACTGAATTCAGAACAAAGGGTCAGTGACTGACTGAGCAGACTTTACCCCTCCCTTCCCCACTCCTAAGGCCTAAAGGAGAGCGGTGACTAAGGGGATGAAAACATTATTCACACAGATGAGGCGTCCCCAGAGGCTGCTTCTCCTGAGCTCAGCCTCACTTTGAAAGCTGTCCTGAGCTGGAAGAACCAAGGACATGGACCAGCACAGCTTTAGGATCCTTCCTTTTTTCTCTCTCTCTTTTTCTTTCTTCGCCTGACTCCTGGTTTGCTCTATCAATTCAGCTAATTCTGACTCAAGAGACAGTTTCTTTTAATGCTTGCCTACCTCTGCCTTACAGAAAAGAGGTGCCCAAGAATCACACGGACCATTAGGTGTGAGGACCCTTAGGGCTGTGAGGACTCAGATAACATCCAACCCAATCTCCTTATTTGATATTTAAGAGACGGGGCTCCTCAGTGTCTAGTGATCACACAGCTACTTAGTGAGTAGAGTAAGGACTTAAACCCAGGTGTGGACACTCTAGCCAGTGCTCTTTATTTTTATTCAATGAGTTAATCTGGCAAGAATTGCTAAGGAAATCATATTTAGGTAATACTTAGTAAATGCTATGGACAGGTCAGGAGCTGAGCCAAATGCATTTATATTATCTCATTTCATCTTTACAACTACCGTGTGAGAGGTCTGGAGAGGTTTAGTGACTTGCCAAAGGTTATAATGGATTCTAAGTGGAGAAGTTGGGATGTGAAACTACAACATCTGAGTCCAAATCCAGAGTTCTTAGAAGAGAAAATGTTTGTGCTCAGTCTACCTACACTTCCTCCTTCCTCCCAGATGCATACTTGCATGAGCATGGGAAAGATTCAATGAACAGTTCCCTCTCTCCCTTCAATCAATCACACTGAGAAAAGCGAAACATTATTTATTCACGAACTTCAGAGTTTTTAAGAAAATTCTCCTAGGGAACTGGAGCCTCTAGTCTCTAGCTACGGAAAGTGTGGTCTTCACACCAAGAGCGTTGGCATCTCCTTGGAGCTTGCTAGAAATGCAGACTATCAGGCTCCACTCCACACTCCCCGAATTGGAGTCTGGAGGTGAACGGGCTCCTCAGGCGGGTCATGTGCGTCTTAAAGTGAAGGAGCTGCGCTCCAGCCTGACTGAAGATGAAGGATTCCTGACTTCTGGAGATCAGACAGCATCGTTACCAAATTTCTCCCTGACGTGATGAAATTTCCACATAATTATGTCCAAACCACCGTCTCAAGAAGTCACAAAAGAAGAGCCTTTTGGAGAAAAATAAGATTAATACTAGACAGTATATCTTGCTAAAGCCAAAGAGACCTGAAATCAACTTGAAAGCCTTTTTAAAAAACTAGCAAAGAATTTAGACAGAGAAACTTCATCCATACCTCAAACCACTGAGTCAAACGAAGATAATAAAATATTTATCGAAAAAAATGAAACCATGAAGGGAAAAATATTTTATAGGCATTTTACATAGTTTAGTTTCTCATCACATCATTGAATCCTTACTGTATATATAAGGAAAGTGAGGAAGAAGATGTTAGATAAATTGTTCAAAGGCCATGCAGACTTGTCTCTGAATCCAGGTTTGTCTGATTCTAAAGCTCCCTATATCGCTCCCTGTGTATGACCCACATATATTGTGCCAGGTGCTGTAGAAATCCAAAAGCAGTACCAATTTCCTCAATTCTAAGATGCATATTTTTTTTTCCCCACAGCTTAATGTTTCTGAAGTTAGGATGCCTCTTAAAACCAATGTCAAAGGAAACTTGCCGAGGTGCTAAGAAAATTCAATGTAGACGGAAAGTTTTTTCAACAAATAGTGCCAGAAAAACTGGATATCAAACTGAAAAAAATGAATCTTGATCTATACCTCACACCACACACAAAAACTAATTTGAGATGTATCATAGACTTAAATGTAAAAGCAAAAACTATGAAATGTGGAAGAATATATTTGCAACCATGGGAGGGGTAAATATTTCTTTAAAAAGCCACAGAAAGCACTAAACAACCTCAGGGCCATTAGGATGTCTACCATCAAAACAAAACAAAACAAAACAGCAAATAACAAGAGTTGGCGAGGATATGGAGAAATTGGAATGCTGGTACACAGTTGGTGGGATTGTAAAATGGTGCAACTGTTATGGAAAGCAGTATGGAAGTTTCTCAAAAATTAAAAATAGAACTAGCATAGGATCCAGCAATCCCACTTTTGGGTATATATCTGTAAAAATTTAAAGCAGAGTCTCAAAGAGATACTATTCACAATAGACAAGAAGTGAAAACAAACCAAAGGTCCATTGACAGGTGAATGTGTAAACAAAATGTATATACATACAATGGAATATTATTCAGCCTTAAAAAGGAAGGAAATCTTTGCACATGCTTCATCATGGATGAATCTTCAGGACCTTATGCTAAGTGAAATAAGCCAGTCATAAAAAGACAAATACTCTATGATTCCACTTATATGACATCAAATTAATAAACAGAAATCTCATTAAATTGGAGCCAGGAGGCCAAAAGGGGAAGCTCTTACGCCTTATGTCAACAGCAGAGCCCAAAAGGGAGAAGAAAGACTTCCTCTTCTTGAGCAGCAAGAAGCTCAGACAATGAGAGACTGTCACAACTAAGCCAATAAAAAAGCTACTACACCTCGAGCTCTTTGTTTATGATAGCCCTCTCCATTTCCTCTTCCCCTCTGTAAAAGTGCTTCTCCTCCCTTGCTTCTGGGGGGCTGGCACATGGTTTGCTGTGGTTACAGACTCCAAATTGCAATTCTTCAATAATCCTGAGTAAACCCGTTTTTGCTGGAGAAATAACTGGATGTCTATCTGTTGAAGGTCAACAACGTACACAGAGTAGTCAAACTCATAAAGACACAAAGTAGAACGGTGGGTACCAGAGGCTAGAGGGAGGCGGAAGTGAGGAGTTGCTGTTTAATGGGTATAGGGTTTGAGACTTGCAAGATGAAAAAGTTCTGAAGACCTGTTTCACAACAATGTGAATTACTTAGCACTACTAAACTGCTCACTTAAAAATGGGTAAGATGGTAAATTTTATGTTATGTGTTTTTTTACAATAAAATTCTTTAAATCTTTGCAGAAAAAAAAAGCACTTAACATAAAAGAAAAAATTGAGTAATTGGACTTCATAAAAATTAAAACTAGCCATTCATCAAGACACTGAAAAGAAAGGGAAAAGCAAATCACATATTCACAATATTCACAATACATATATCTGCAGTGGATGCTTCCCCGACTGCCAGAAGCTTTCGGCTGCTGGAAACTCAGCGGTTGAGTCTCACTTGAGACATGGTCCTTGGCCAGAAGGAGCTGTCAGGAACAGACTGCCTCTGTCCTGAAGCGATTTGGGAACAGGAATGTGGAGGTCCCTGTTATCAACTGAATCTGTTGTTCTGTGTTGAAATGTCCTCGGGACAAGAGTGTGGAGAGAGAAGAGGCTTACAATAGAGGTTTGAGGAAATCAATGTTTAGTGCTTGGGTGAAGGAGGGAGAAGAGAATAGAGGAATAGAAAAAAGATAAGAGCATCCGGAGAGATGGGAGGAATATTAGGATTGCATGGAGACGTGGAAGTCAAGGGAAGAGGAGGCACCTAAAAGGAAGTAGTCTGTAAAATGCTGCTGAGAGATTATGTAAGGGAAAAAATGAGCAAGAGATATCAGATTTAGCAACACGAAGGTTACTGGAGACAACAAGTAAGAAGAATTTGGTTGTGTAATGGGGCCAGAAACCAGAATGAAAAGCATTAATGAGTAGGAGGTAAAGAAACAGACACAGGGGGCCAGCCTGGTGGCGCAGCGGTTAAGTGTGCACGTTCCACTTTGGCGGCCCAGGGTTTGCTGGT